AATTATGCAGCCAGTGTTCAGAATTGCTAATCCGCCTCCAGCCTAGCATCCCCTCCTGCAGCTCACACCCCAGCCCCTCACTGGGGTTCCCAGAGTGGTGGTGCCCAGCCCCAAGCCCATCACTGATGCCCAGGACCACCATCACAGTGAGAGAGAGGGTAGGCCAGGAAAGGCGGCAGGGACACCTCTCTTCCATCTGCAAGCGACGGAACTTGGTTGGGGAGGCTGTGGCTCTCTTTGTCCCCCAAGCCCCTGGCCCCACCATGGCTTGCACCTGCCAGGACAGCTGTGGCTCTGGAAGTGGGCAGGGGAGTGATCAGTGCCCACCCCTGAGTGATGTGGCTGCACCCATTTCAGGGACATTGGTCCTATGTCTCCAGCCTTGTGTGACCCCAAGGACACATGTATACAAGTATGATCTTTGTCTGTGTCAGGCCCACAGTCACACTTTGCTTCCCTTCCCCACACACACTCAGCCTCACGGCTATACAAGGGCAATAGCACGCCCTGTGTGTTTCTTACACACACAACCACACCTGAAGGCCAGGGCACCCTTGGGAGGTCCTGTTGCTGCCCCCCACGCCCTGCCCCTACTCCATCCCCTCCCACCCCACGCCCACTGGAACACGCTCTGAGATCTCCCTGCTCCCACCTGGTGGGGTGGCTGCCTGTGGCTGGGGCCTGCCTGAACCTCCATCGACCCGGCCTGGGGGAGGTGGAGGCGGCCCGGGGCAGGGGGAGTGTTCTGCAGCACTGTGGCGGCGTCTCCTCTCCAGGCGCCCAGCTGTGGCATCTGTCAAGGTCAGATAGCGACTCCGGAACCAGCCGGCTCGGCCCCATGGCCCCTCTCGCCTCATTATTTTTGTGTTCCGGGGCTGCGGCGACACCTCCCTCCCTCCTCCTCAGCCTCCCGCCTCTTGCCTGCCTCCCCCATGCCTCTGCAGGGAGGGCCTGCGGTCTGGGGGCTTTTGTTTTCCAGTTTTTTCCACACTCAGGCCAGGCAAGCGGGTAGACGCTGGCCATAGCTGTTGGGTCTTAAACAGCGGACAAGGCAGGCAGGTGCTTCTCTCGTGGCTGGTACAGCTTCTTAGCTAGTGGAACCCTGGGTTGGTTTCTCAGGGGGACAAACTGAACCTGAGTGGGGCCCAGCCCCCACCACAGCCTAAGCACATCTGTGGGTAGCTTCCTGTTTCCATAGGCGCCCTCGTACCTGGCATCCGTTCCTGTCTGTACTGTCCCTATCCCAGGTGGACCCCAGACTCACATCCCAGAACCCCTCAGAGACCCTGATACAACTCAGTGCACGCATACGTGTGCACACACACATGCAGGTGTACACATGGCAAAGATATGTTGACACTCAGAGGTCTGAAGAACCCACAAATATCCAGCCACTGTATAAACCAATATACTTTTACACACATACATACTTGGGCGTACGTGTACATCTACAGACATAGATAGCACACACTCCACTTGTACACACAGGGAAGTCACACAAAGACCTCCACCTATGCTGGTATATAAGCCCTTTGTATACATCAGTGCTTAAACCCACAGAAAGTGACGTCTGAGACTGTAGATACACACCTGGGCACTCCCCCAGCCCCCTGGACACACACTCACTCATGCACACAGCATGACACGTGTCTGGCACACCTCGCAGGTGGACACATGCACATATCCTTATCCATTGTGCTGCTGCTCACGACGCACACTCCAACCTGAGCTCCCTGCCTGGGGCCCAGTACTCCTTGAGCACAGTGACACCACCCAAGGGACTGTGGTCCCCTGAAATGCTGAAGTGAGCTTGAGGCCTCCCCCTCAGTGCACCCTGTGTGTCCAAGGAGCCCCTGGAGAGTGAGAAATGCTAGTTGACAGATGGACTGCCCTACCTGCCTGGCCACCCTCTTTATGTTCACCACCCTGGGCCCAAGAGCACTGAGATGGAATGGGAGGGGGGGTTCCGGGTGGGTCATGGTGGGCTTGGTGACTCCTGGTGGAGAGGGCAGGCTCATGGGGCTAGCCTCGCAGGCTCTGTCTCTGGGTCCCTCTGTTCACCTCCAGCCCCTGATTAGGTATGTAAGTGTTGGGGGAATGAGATGTGGGCAGACTCCAGGCCCCTCAGGGTCTCTGGGGTAGCCCTGGCCATCCACTGACTTCCTCCTCCAGCTGTGGACTGCTGTGACCGCCCCTGAGAGGGGGAGGTAGCTGGAGGTTTAGCAGTGGCAGGGCCCCCACCCCCCAGGAAACTCAAAACCCTGGGCCAGCCGCGGGTGGCGGGTTGGGGCAGGCACAAAGAGGGCCTCTGTGCGGCCCGGCTGGGCTGCCCACAGGATTCTGGGGGAGGAGGCAGGAGCCGGTTTCCGTCCCATTCTGCTTCCTGCGGAGGCCGCCGGAATGCCCGGAGCTCTGGCCCAGCCTGGCCCGTCCGGCCCACCCGCAGCCCCTTCCCCTGTCTTTTCCTGGGCCTTAGGGTACAGCTGCAGACTTCTCAGCAACAGAGTCCTAATGGGTTTTGCTCAGAGCCTGAGCCACCCCCGAGACCCATGGGAAACCTCAGGGTTTCCTCCCACTATGTGCCTCAGAGCCCTTGGCCAATGTTGGAGAGCCAGGCCCTGGCATCACACAGACCTGGTTTCAAATCCTTGCTCTGCCACTTAGTGACCTTGTGACTTTATCTCCCTCAGCCTCAGTTGCCTCATCTAAAGGTGGGGATGATAGTAGTTAAGAGTACTAGAGAGAATTCGATGAGAAAATGTGTATAAAATGCTTATTAGCACAATGCCTGGCAGACAGTGAGTGCTCATTATTAGGGCCTGCTATTATATCTGCTAGGGAGGTAGAGGCGGGAGGGGCTAGATGCTCCTCGCTCCAATAAGCCTCACATCGTCTGGGGCTTGGTCTCAAGCCTGTGACTTGCTCAGAACCCTTCTGTCCAGACTTTGGTTTCCCTATCTGCAAATCACATCACAGGCTGATTCAGGCCCTCTGGGGCCCTCCTCGTGGGATTTGGAGGGTGGGAGGGGGTCACTGTCTGGAGTCTTTTTTCTGTGTCTCTTCACCTCCTTCCCCATAGCCCCTCTGGGATTGTGACTCCTGCAGTTTGGAGTGAGGAGCAAAAACCATTTTACAGATGGGAAACTGAGACTCAGTGTCGAGGGAAAGGGCTTGGTCAAAGTCGACAGTCATGGGGCTGGCCCCGTGGCCGAGTGGTTAAGTTCGCATGCTCCGCTGCAGGTGGCCCAGTGTTTCGTTGGTTCGAATCCTGGGTGCAGACATGGCATTGCTCATCAAACCACGCTGAGGCAGCGTCCCACATGCCACAACTAGAAGGACCCACAACGAAGAATATACAACTATGTACCGGGGGGCTTTGGGGAGAAAAAGGAAAAAATAAAATCTTAAAAAAAAAAAAAAAAGTCGACAGTCAGGTAGGGACAGGATGGAGCCACAAACCTAAACCTTAGGACTCTAGTACCCCAGCCAGTCCTGTTGACAAACACCCCACCCCCACCCCCCCATGCCTTGGCCCAAATATCTCTGAGCTAGCCTTCCCCAGCTTGCTCCGTGGTGAGGCCTACCAGGAGGGAGGTCCTAACTGAGTGTGTGGGCCGTGATCCCAGACTGGTGTCAGCTCAGACATCACCACTTTGGGAAACATTAGTCTAAGATCGAAGGAGTCCCAAATGGGGAGGGCAGCACTTTCTCTACATCACAACTGCTTATCAAATTGCCTGGTCTAAATGGGGCAATAATAGTACTTTCTTCAGAAGGCAGGTATGAGGATTCATTGAGACAAGGCATGTACAGTGTCTGGCACACAGGAAGGCCTCCATACATGTTAGCAGTTATCCTCGTGGTCCCCTGCTACAGATGGGGAAACTGGCTCAGAGGCCATGTGCCAAGATCATCCAGGGCCCTCCTGATCCTTTGACTCTTCCAGGGAAGAGACCTGGCCTGAAGGAGGTGCCTGTTGAGGAAGGCCTTGTCTTTATCAGGGGTTCTACAACTCCCTCCTTAGAGCCCCAGGTCAGGGCATACCTCCTGCCTGGGGCCTCGATGTGTCTGTCCATGAAATGAGCTGATCCCCTTTTCCAGCTACTTTTGGAAGCTCTGTAAGGGAGAACAGAGACCATATACTCCTGGGGTTTTCTCAGCAGCATGTTTCAGTCCGCAGGCAAAGGGGTTGTGCCTGCCCTAGGAGGAGGGGCGTAAGAGGGTCAGGGGCTATGGAGTCAGGGAAATATGCAGGGGATTGCAGCCCCCCTGTTCTGTCCTTGACAGTTGGTCTTGGGGTGTTAGTCTTGGGAAGACTCTAATAGTATTGAGGGCATGTCCACCCCAGGCCATCTGCTGGGTGCTAGCAGTGGTCAATGTGTCCTTGTATGTGTGTCCATCCATAGCTGGATATGTGCCCTGTGCTCTCCGGCTGGGTCTGCGTTTCTCTCAGCCTCCAAGACCACTGTCCCCATGTGTGTCTCCTTAGGCCTGAGTGGGGCTTTTTTTCCCTATGGAAACTCCCCAGGCTGAATCATGGAAATCAGAGATGGAAACCCCCCCACACACACCCTCTTGCTCAGCTTAGTTCAACCACCGTAGCCTGTGGTTTGTTCTCTGCGCCACCACTGACCTGCCCACCATCTGTCTATCTCACCTCCCTCGGAGGCCAAGGAGACCAGCCCACCAAGGTGGGTGGAGGAATGTGAAGGGGTGTAGCGGGGATGTCAGAAGTGTGGGGAAGGGTATGCTGAGCCAGGGTGTTCAAGTCTGCAAAGCTGGCTTGCCCAGACCATGGCGGGCTCTGCTGGGCCAGTGTCTTGGGAAGGTCCCGCTGAAATGCAGCCTCCTCCAGGAGGCCTTCCCTCAGCAGGCGGGACGGCTGGGAGGCTGTTGCAGCCAGCAGGGGAGTAGGGGAGGGATGGCGCCTGCTCAAACTCTGCCCATGGTATTGGTGATGGTTGCACAACTCAGTAAGTTTACTAAAAATTATTGAATTATACACTTATAAGTGGGTGAATTTTATAGTATGTAAACTATAACTCAGTAAAGCTGTTAAAAAAAAATCCTGCCCTTGGCCTCAAGACCCTGTCCAGTTGGGACCCTGCCACCTTCGTAGCCACACCTCGCACCCACTTCCCTTTTTCTTAGGAACCCTTTCAGGCTTGTGTCCCCTTTGGTAACCTCTCCTTAACTCACAGGCTAGCAGTCCCCTCCTCCTGGAAGATCCCCGAAGCCCTACTTGGTCCCCTTCTCACTCTCACTCACACTGGTTCTTGTAACCCTCAGTCTAGCTCCTGTGCACTCCTCCAGGGCAGTGCTGGGTCTGTATCCTGCACCATCTCCCCAGTGCCACAGGGCATGGGGCTGCTGAAGGGTAGGCAGTAGGGGGATGTGTCCAACCACACATCTAGAACATTTCACTGTGGGCCACCTGTGTGCATGTCTACATGCAGACAGGACCATCCCTCCCGACAGTGCCCACCCCACCCCCAAGGCCATGTGGCCTGAAGGGCTCAGGACAGCCTGCTGGGGATGAATCCTGACTCCCTTGGGGCTAAAGGTGGAGTGAGGGCACTGCCATCACCTCTGGTGACCTCACTACCAGCTGGCATTATGATATCACTGGCCCAGCATTCCGAGCTCCTGCCTGGACATCTCCAAGGCCCCCCCAGGTGGGGGTGCCCCTCTGGAGTCTGTGACAGCTCTCCCCACTGACCACGTAAAGGTGACAGGCATGGTAACAACTGGGGGGTGGAGGCAGCCTCGGGGTAGCTAGGTCACCTTGCCCTGGACTACTCTCTCGGGTAGAACAGAGGCAGTCACAGAGCAGGGTGATTAACACTTGGGCTCTGGGTTCAAATTCTACCCCTACTGGGCACCAGCTGTTTGACCTTGACCTGAACCTGTTTGACCACAGCTTGCCTCTCTGAGCTACAATTTCCTCATCTCTGAAATTGGTTAATATTTCCTATCTCCCTGGGTTCTCAGGAGGAGTCAAGGAGGGAGAGAAGCCAAGAGCCTGGGACACAGTGGGTGCTCAGTGAATGCTGGCTGGTAGGGTTAGTCAGTTTAGGGAGCCTGAGTGTCACTTGGTGGTGGGAGCTGGTTAGAGAGAGGTGGGGTCTGCACCTTCTTGGGGAAGACAAGGCCTGGGGGTAGAGCAGGGGCTGGCCCCACTGTCAGGAGAGTAGTCTCAGCTTTGAGGCTCCCTCTCTTCCTAGCTCAGCCAAAGCTCGAGCCCACAGGAGATTGGGCCCCACAGCCAGGCCCTGAGGCCAAGACCCAATGACCCCTGGCCCTGCTCCCTATCTCCTCTTCCCAGGCCTTGGGCTGGAGTGGGCTGGGGCCTTGGGTAAGGTGGGTCTCCTCTGGTCTCTCCCACCTCTGCTTCCCTCTCCTGTGGGCACGTCCACTGCCTTCTCTTGGTCTCCAGGTCCCTGAGTCTGGGACTCTCCTCAGGGCTCTGTCTCCTTGTCCCTCAGACCCTTAAGTCTCTGAGTTGGGCTCGGCACCCTGGGTCTCTCTGAGCCTCGCCATCCCAGTCTCTGCTCCACATGACACTCTGTCCTCTGACCTTGACCCTTTGCCCTGTCCTCTCCGAGTCCCCTTTTCTCTAACCCACCTCTCAAGTCCTCTGTCTCATGATCCTCTATCCTCACCACCTGTCTCTGTTCTTCTGCCCCTGTGTCCCCTGCTGCCCCCCAGCTCTCCATGACTGGTTTTTCCCTCAGCCCCCGCCCCCTGGGCTCTGTCCCCGCCCGTCAGCCCCTGGTCCCAGCTCCCGGCCGGCCCGGCTCCTGCATGGACAAAGGGGTCCTTTGTGGGCTGACCGCGGCTGGCGGGGCGGCGGGGCGCTGGCTCCGCATTGCTGATGAAACGGAGCCCTTTGTTGTCCCTCCTCAGGCGCAGTATTTCTTTTTGGGGGCTGGATACGTTCCTGGCAGGGCTGATGATGGATGCGCCCGCCGCCGTCCGCCTGCCCGCCAGCTTTCCCTCCTGCTCATTCCCGCTCCGCTTCAACGCAGCCCCAGCTCCTCCCCTGCTGCCTGGGCACTGCCAGGCCCTTTCTGGCCTAAGAGGGGGTTGATGTGTGCCCTGCAATAGAAGACTGCGACTGGGAGAAGGTCTTTTCTTATGTCCTTCTCTTCCATGAGTAGAGCAAACGGGCCCTGTGATCAGGGCTCCACTGGGACCAGGGCATCAGCTTTTCCCAGGGTCTGAAGGAAAAGATGAGGCGGGTACAGGAGCAGATTTGGAACAAGCTTGGGGACCAGGCCTTGGGGACTAGATCTTGGTATCTGCCCACTCTAGGGTTTTGGGACAGTTACCCCATGTGCCAGTCCCCCTGGCATACCCCCACCTTCAGTTTCTGTGGCTGACAAACCACGGTGTTCTGCCTGCAGCACCTGTTCGATGACATATCACGTCCTCTGGTCGCGAGCTCAGCATATCCCAGGAACTGGGGGGCTGGGGGAGGGTAGTCCCTGAGGAAGGACAGAAAAATGGAAGGTCAGAGAGATTCAATGAGGGGGCCAGAGATGAACAGAACATGAGGTTTGGTCCCCACCACGAGAGACTGAGGATGAAGACAAAAGCGGAGAGACTCAGCCAGAGTGGAGCACCAGCCCTGAACGCAGGCCGGGCTGTGTCGGAGGGAGCTGACTTCTAATTGACCTGCCCTCCCCGCACACAGAGGCAGATCCTGGAGCTGGGAGGAGGGAGGGAGGGAGTAGAGCAAGAGCAGCGTTAATGCAGCTATCGATTTCTGCCACCAGCCAGCAGGCCGCAGAGGCGGAGGACGCACACAGGGGCTAGGGCGCAGATTGCTCCCCTCCCCAGCTCCAACCCGTGGGCGCCTGCCTTCTCCCTTCACCCCATGTCGGGCTGCTGGGGCTGTGGTCCAGGGCAGGGTAGTTGAGCTCACTCTGGGCAAGTTGACTTGGGGTGATAGTCTTAGGCGGTGATCTCCCTGGCCCTAGTCCCTAACACCTAGCCAGGGTCACTGATGCCTGGAGGGGTACCAGTCTCTGAGGAGTGGAGCCGAAGAGCCAGCCTGGGCTTGCCCCTTAGGAGGTAGGGCAGAGTATAGCTATCTTTGGGCATACATGACCCCCTTCCTCTGTGACACCCTCTAGCCCAGCCTGCTCACCCTGCCAGGACCTCCTGGGTTTGTCCTGGTGGACTCTGCCAGCTTGCCCAGCTCTTCCTCACCACCTGTCTACCTTGACTAGGAAGGACCCTGAGTGGGCCAGTGCCCACTGGGAAGGGGCAGTGTCTGGCTGTCTGCTGATGCCTGCCATTCGCCTCACCCTGAAGACAAAGTGTTTCCTTTCTCTGTGGTCCCTCCTCATTGTGGTCACTCCTTAGCAGTCCTGGGGCAGGGGGCCATATCTGCTGGGGGCCTCAATTTCCCCCTCTGTAAGTGCAGAGGGTTGGACTGGATGACCTCTCAGGATAGGCTGAGTCCTGTGACTGGGGGATGGTGGGGTTGCCTGGGGACAAAGATGCAGTGTGTGCCGCCCCCAAGGCCAGGGCAGGACAAGCCAAGCCAGATGTGCGCTTCCCCCTTGAGCCGCCAGCTGCTTGGGCTGGGCCCTCTCCTCCCACCCCTCTCCTGGGGGTTGCTGGGCCACGGCAGGCCGACAGGCAAGGGATGCTGGAGAGCCAAGCTGATGAGGAAACTGCCACTCTGCTCCATCTGGACCAGTTCCTTCCAGAGCTCCTGGCCAAGGAGCCTGGCTGCTCACGTGTCGTAGTCTTGGGGCCTGAGCAGAGCAGGCTCTGTCCTGGAGAGGGACACCTTGGAAATGTGGATGTGGCTGAAGAACAGGCTCCGTTTCTGAGGGGTCACACCTACTCTCATTCCCAGCTTGCACCAGCCAGAGGCCCCTCCTGCCCACAGCCTATCCCAGCTCTCGAGGCCCTCACTGGGACCTCCACCCAGGCCCATTTGGGAGCCAGGCCAGAGCAGACAAGAGTGGGTCCTGAGGTGATGATGACCATGGTTTGAGAGTGGGGAGGAAGTGCGTGCTGATGTGTGCACAGCATGTCCCCTGACTCTTGCAGGGGAAGGCTTGCCCTGGCACAGCGCTGCCTGCCCTCTAGCAGGAGGATGCATGCTCCTTTTTTTTTTTTCTTTTTCTCCCCAAATCCCCCCAGTAGATAGTTATATACTTTCTAGTTGTGGCATGTGGGATGGCCTGATGAGTGGTGCCATGTCCGCACCCAGGATCTGAACTGGTGAGACCCTGGGCTGCCGAAGCAGAGTGCGTGAACTTAACCACTCGGCCACGGGGCCTCCCCCATGCTCCTGGAAATAAGGGTTCTGTGCTCTATTTGGCAAACTCTATTAAACAAAGTCAAACAGTTTCTTTTGCCTGCAGGACTTGCCAGAGCCTTGAGATTAGGAATCTCCAAATAAAGATCCAGGGGCAGCTTCGCAGACGTTTTGGTCTACACCTTCAAGCTTTCAGAGGCTGTTCTGACCCCTCTTCTCTGTAGGTGGGTTAGGGAAGGGAGATTAGGAAGTGGAAGATGACTCTATAACACTCGGAGGTTAATAAACATCTCCAGCTTTTTCCTTCCCCCAGCCCAGGAAGGACTGCCTGCCTCCACGAGGTCTTCCAGACCCTAGCAGGGCAGATCTGGGCTGTGGAGACCTTGGTGGCTGTGTATCCATGGACTAGTCGGTTCTTCTTCTAAACCTTGTGTTCTTCATCTATAAAATAGGGCGTTACTAGCCACTACTTCATAGGGTTCTTGTGAGTCTTAACTGAAATAGTACAAATAAAAAGTTCCTAAGCAGGGTGGGCCCAGCACTTAATAAATAACCTAGTCAGGCTTGTAGTTGCTACAACAGTGGTGCAGTTAGTGGTGGTGACATTGGAGAAGGAGATGTTGACTTCTGCCCTGATCCTGTACTCTCTTGTCTCGACAGAGTGAAGATAGTTTCACGTGGACACCTGACCATGTGCCTGCCCTGAGCTGCGAGGCCCACCAGGCATCTTTGTTGTGGGCAGCAGGGCCCAGCGTTCATCTGTGGACACCCCACGGTTGGCAGGTTCTCCCAGCAGTGGGGTCTGGGCCTCGACCCCACCATGTCGAGCCTCGGCAGTGGCCCGCAGGACACCGGCGGCAGTAGCAGCAGCAATGCCAATGGCAGCAGTGGCAGTGGCCCAAAGGCGGGAGCAGCTGACAAGAGTGCAGCGGTGGCCGCAACTACGCCAGCTTCAGTGGCGGATGACGCACCGCCCCCCGAGCGTCGGAACAAGAGCGGCATTATCAGTGAACCCCTCAATAAGAGCCTGCGTCGCTCCCGCCCTCTCTCCCACTACTCTTCCTTTGGGGGCAGTGGGGGCAGTGGCGGTGGCACCATGATGGGCGGGGAGTCTGCTGAAAAGGCTGCTGCGGCCGCAGCTGCTGCCTCCCTGTTGGCCAATGGGCACGACCTGGCGGCAGCCATGGCTGTGGACAAAAGCAACCCTACCTCAAAGCACAAAAGTGGTGCTGTGGCCAGCCTGCTGAGCAAGGCGGAGAGGGCCACGGAGCTGGCAGCCGAGGGACAGCTGACGCTGCAGCAGTTTGCGCAGTCCACGGAGATGCTGAAGCGCGTGGTGCAGGAGCACCTGCCGCTGATGAGTGAGGCGGCCGCTGGCCTGCCCGACATGGAGGCTGTGGCGGGCGCTGAAGCCCTCAATGGCCAGTCCGACTTCCCCTACCTGGGCGCCTTCCCCATCAACCCAGGCCTCTTCATCATGACCCCGGCAGGCGTGTTCCTGGCCGAGAGTGCGCTGCACATGGCCGGCCTGGCCGAGTACCCCATGCAGGGAGAGCTGGCCTCCGCCATCAGCTCGGGCAAGAAGAAGCGGAAACGCTGCGGCATGTGTGCGCCCTGCCGGCGGCGCATCAACTGCGAGCAGTGCAGCAGTTGTAGGAACCGAAAGACTGGCCATCAGATTTGCAAATTCAGAAAATGTGAGGAACTCAAAAAGAAGCCTTCCGCTGCTCTGGAGGTAACGGCGCCTTAGAGGGAGGTGTGTGGGCTCTTGCTTCTGTCTGGCAGTCCAAACCCACCCCCACCCCAACCCCGCCTTTTCTGCCTGGGCGAGTGTCCGGGGATGCCCAGCCAACCCTGGGCTCCAGGGTTCCACGCCAGGCTCCGAGAACACCAGTTCACTGCCCCAAAAGTCAGAACCACATCCTGCCATCCCATTAGGTTGTAGTTTGCAAGGCAGGCATAAAATTCCAGGCAAGGGCCTGCGATTCCCAGCCAGGCCCTGGCTCCTACACTCCCTTCTGGAGTTCTGGGTCAAGTACTGAGATTCCCATACAGGTCCTAAAGCTTCCAGTCTGTGAACTAAGATTCTGCGACTCTCCCCTGCCCCATTTTAGGGGTTCCATCCCATGGACTCTGGCTTTGAGGACCAGCCCCTCACTTGCCCCTTCAGGGCCCAGCCTTTTTCCCCAAGACCACCCAAGGATAGGGCTGCTCCAGTGCTGATCACCCTGCTCTGAGGCCTGGAAGAACCCTGGGTCTAGGCACCTTGTTGACAGATTTGGCGTGCCTTGGGGCCCCAAGGTCAGTCTGGCTGCACTGCTAATGGCCAGGGGTCCTCTGGGCCTAGGGTTAGGAGGTGGCTGTGAACCTAGGGAATGGGCAAGGCCTGTCCACTATGGGATTGGCTTAGAGAAGGCAGAGGGGTTCCCATGTTGCTTTCTCTCTACCCTTGTGGCAGGGCCTGTCCCTGTGCCCCCAGCCATGGCAGCCTAACTGTGGTGCCAAGCCTGGGTACAAAAGCATCTTTTCAGCCTGCTGTCCCTGCCCTGTCCCCGCCCCTCTACGAGTGGGCTTGGCACAAATGTCCAGAATGGTTGGAAAACAATAATGGCATCCCAACCATGGCTACCCGCCCAAGCCCCAAACCTCATATATCTGCTCTCCTGCCCAGAGAACACACCTATGTGCACACAAAGGCGCCCACTCTCATCTGGTGTAGACATACACACACACACTCACCCCTGTTCAGTGTACATAGTCTTATTATAGACGCAGTGTCTTAATAAACACAGCAAGTATCCTTCCTCCCCACACAGCTCCAAACAGCTGTACACTGTAGCATAGCTCAAGGCATACATCCATATATGCATCTAGTGCACACGCTTACACGCTCATTCGACAGAAATGTGCATACAGCTCCCAGATGCATCACAGCCACCTGGTGCGTGTGGCCCTTGGACCAGGGGAAGGGGTCTTCCTGTCTGGAAGGAGGGTTCCTGGGCACAGTGGCTCAGGAGGCCTCAGGGTGCTCCCAGCCTTTCAGCGGCCCAGCAGGTCAAGGCTCCTTCTCTGGCCTGGCCAGGATGGCAGGAACTCCACGGGGTGGCTGCCTTTACTCCATGCCCATCCCTCCGCCACGAGGCCATCCACGGGGGACGTCTTTGCACCAGGCCCAGCCGGACCCTGACTGAACTCTCTCCTTGTTTTTGTCTCCCGCCCCCGCCAGAAGGTGATGCTTCCGACGGGAGCCGCCTTCCGGTGGTTTCAGTGACGGCGGCGGGAACCCAAAGCTGCCCTCTCCGTGCAATGTCACTGCTCGTGTGGTCTCCGGCAAGGGATTCGGGCGAAGACAAACGGATGCACCCGTCTTTAGAACCAAAAATATTCTCTCACAGATTTCATTCCTGTTTTTATATATATTTTTGTTGTTGTCGTTTTAACATCTCCACGTCCCTAGTATAAAAAGAAAAAGAAAAGAAAAAAAAAATTTAACTGCTTTTTCGGAAGAACAACGACAAAAAAGAGGTAAAGACGAATCTATAAAGTACCGAGACTTCCTGGGCAAAGAATGGACAATCAGTTTCCTTCCTGTGTCGATGTCGATGTTGTCTGTGCAGGAGATGCAGTTTTTGTGTAGAGAATGTAAATTTTCTGTAACCTTTTGAAATCTAGTTACTAATAAGCACTACTGTAATTTAGCACAGTTTAACTCCACCCTCATTTAAACTTCCTTTGATTCTTTCCGACCATGAAATAGTGCATAGTTTGCCTGGAGAATCCACTCATGTTTATAAAGAGAATGTTGACGGCGCCGTGTCAAAGCCCCTCTGTATCCGTCCACGCGGGCAGAGCCACTGCGAGGAGGTCACAGAGAGGGAGGGAGCAGCCCACCCACCCCCATGCCCAGGCCAGCCATGCTGCACCCATGGTCCCCAAAATGGGACCCCCACCCCAACAGTGATGATTTTGCAAAAATGAGAGCTCCGTTTATCCATTGAGATCTGGGGAGCCCATGTCTCGATATTTCCGATCCTGGCTATTTCCCTTAGAGAAAATAAGTCCTTTTTTTTCTGGCCTTGCTGATGGTGACAGAAGAAAGGGCTTCTTTGCGTGGCCCCCTGCCAGTGGGGGTGGGTGCCCAGGGGGCCCCCTGTGGCCTGGGCCCCCTTGCCCATGGCCAGCTTCCTGCTGATGAACATGCTGTTTGTATTGTTTTAGGAAACCAGGCTGTTTTGTGAATAAAACTAATGCATGTTTGTGTCACGAAGCACCGCTGGCTTCTTGCTCTCCGGTTTTGGGGGCTGGCTTGGGGGCTGTTGCTGGGCAGGGATTGTCTGGGACCACCGTGGGCAGAAGCGGGGCAGACAGGAGCAGCCAGTCTGGCTGACAGGATGGAAATGATGTTAATCTGGAAGTGGCTGGTACTGGAGCACCTCGCCTGCCTGATTGTACCCCCCACCTCAGAATCTGGACCTCCGCTCACCTGGGGCCACCCTCCCTTCACCTAAAGCCATCAGGACCTGATCAGCGCAAAGCAGCCAGCAGTACGAGGGGTGGGCCTCAGCGGCCCCTTCTGGTTCTTCTTTCTTTCTTCTTACTTGCAGGAATCTAGTGATTCCCCAGGGAGCAGTTTTAGCCCAGGTTTGTGGGGACCTGGCTGTGCCCAGCACACAGACAGAGATCCCCCCCACCCCCACACACCCCTCTTCAGGCCTGAGGGCTGCTGGACTGAGGCCTGGTGGTGTCTCTGGCTTCGGCTCTTGTGTGACTCTCCCCACCCCTGGAAAGTTTGTTGGCAAGTGTTGTCTGGGACCTCAGAGGCCAGATGTCTGGGGAAATTACCACACAGCCACATGGTTTAGGCCAGGGCAGCCTGAACAGGAAGGGGTGGCAGCTGCACGCCCCACCCCCCTGCACATTACAGAGGCCGGCCTGCAGGATGAGGCCTGTCATCCACTCCACGGGAGGCATTCTTCCCACCCAGCTGCTTTGCGCCTGGCTGCGATGGAGGCTAGAGTGGAGGAAGGACTTCCTGATGATGCTGGGGCCTGGCTTCAGGTGGATGAGGGCTTCGGGATGAGGGAAAGGACAACTTCTGAAGCTGAATGGGCGGTGAGGTGGGGGAGATGGGCTGTCTCTGCCATTGTTCCTGGGAGGAGAAAAAAGCAGCCATATTGGGTGGGGGCTCTGACCCCCAACCCCTTCGCGGGCGTCACAAGCTCCCTTCCAGCACCAGGAACTCGGCAGCCTGGCCTGGCACAGCGGGGGCGGTGGGAGGCAGCTTTCAACTCCATCTCTGCCTGGGAAAAATTCCCTTTCATGTGGCTGCCTGTGATCTCTCCAGGCAGCTCTGCCGAAGGGGGGTGTCCAGTGGGGAGTGAGGGGAAGTGTTGCAGCCGGGGGCACCCTCGCCCCCTGCACAAAGCAAACTGCAGCACCTCCAGAACTTGGGAGGGTCCTCCTTGGGGGAGTCGGGTGTGAAGCCTGGCCAGCAGGGGGCACCCAGGCAGGAGGCCCCTGCCTGCCCCCACCCGGCTGCTGGCAGCGCACAGGCCACAGATGGCCTCAGCCAGCCCTCATTGGCATGCCTACAGGTGTGGGGTGGACGGCTCCGGTGCCAGCCCCAAGTGTGGGGGTGCTGTGACTCAGCCAGCCTGTACCTTTTAGTGTGCCAACCCACAACCCAGCCATGGCTCCCGGGCCCACCCCACAACACAGAGAAGCCCTAAGTTTGAAGCCCTTCACCTCTTCCAGCTTTGGCCTTTTGCTCTCTCCTTTGTGCAGGTGGTAGGCCGTCCCCTACGTCTGGAGGAGGCCCAGGCAGGGGTGGGGTTAGCTGTGAGGCTAAACATATGATGAGGCCTCAGTTACCTCATCTAGGAAATGGGGCAATAACAGTCTCTCCCCAATAAAGTTGCCTGAGGATGAAATGAGATCACAGTAGAGAAGGGCCTGGCTCGCTGTAAGCACTCGGTCAATGGCAGCTGGTGTTGCCGTTTTAACACCATTATTCATCTAAATGTCATTGAGATGTCCCCCACTTTCTGTCCGGGGTGTGCATCCTTCTGAAAGCCCTGGCCCCCCCACCTCCCACCTCACCATAGAGTGGCCTAGCTGCTGCCCCTTCCCCCAGCAGGTCCCAGCCCCGGCCAGAGCCTGCTCCGGTCAGTCTCTGCCTCTTTCTGTCTGGCTCACTGTCCCTGGATCTCTGTCTTGATGGTCTCTGTTGGTCTCTGACTCATTTCTGTGTCTCATCATTTTTCCGCATCTCTGGGTCTCCATGTGTCTCTCATGTCTCTGCATCTCCCTGTATCTGTGTCTTCCTGTTGCAAGCTCACCCCTGCTGCTCTCCCGTCTGAGAAGTACTTAGAGGCGGGCCCCCTGTTGGGGTCATATGCCCACTTCCCCTCCCCAGGGGTGCCCTCAGCTCCCCTCTGCCACAGTTGGGAGCCTGACCACCTGGTGACACAGGAGGCTTCACCCCAAGCACCTCATACCCCTAGCATCTGGCAGGGGGTGGTTTGACAGGCTGGGGGTGCACACAGGGCTGGAGACAAACCCAGCCTCCATTCAGCCGTGTGTGTGTGTGTGTGTGTGTGTGTGTGTGTGTGTGTGAGAGAGAGAGAGAGAGAGAGAGAGATGCTTCAAGGCCTTGACAACCACCTGAGGCCTTGTGCAGCAACGTGGCTATGTGGGACACTGACATTATGAAAATGGGTCTGTGACAGTGTGTGGTAGACTAGGATGTGAGGCCTCATGTGGCTATGGCTTATTGTATGATGTCAGCAGCCACACTTTGGGATATTCTGTGACATTGCATATGTAATCCTGTGACACTGTACCATCCTATAACAGACCCAGTGTGATACTGGGTTATACAACTGAATGTGTGACGTTCGACGATACTATCTGTGTAACATTGGATATGCAACACTGATATTGTATGGCATGCATGACCCTATGACAGACACTGAGTGATTCTATGTGGTTTGTGACATTGTATCTGTGTGACCATCATGGGTGTGGCCCTTGGACTGACATCAGGGATTCTATGTGAGTGTATGATGCTGACCTGTGGCCCTGCTGTGACCCTGTGATGGGGCCTGTATAACCCTGGTATATGCTCATGACATTGTGTGTCAGTGCACTGCAATCCTCTCAGTGATGCTGACACTATGTGCCATATGTGTCTTTGCCTACAGCATTTCCTGGGTCTCTGTCCTGACAGCCATGCAACCCTGGGGACAGAATGGGGCCCAGGCAGCCCCTCTTACCCCAGCCTCGCCCTGGGGCCCAGTCTGGTTTGCGGGGCTGGCCTGGGGGCAGCAGGCGCAGTTCCCACGGCTGCTGCGGCCCCTCTCCCAGCCCCACCACGGCCGCCTTCAGCTCCACAGAATATCCTGGCAACCCCAGCCTCTTTGTTCTCTGTGGCCGCCAAAGGCCTCCCCCACCCCAGCCTGCCCAGCGCCTGCCAGGCGCCCCCTCCCCCCGACAGCAGCCAGGCTTGGCCTGACCTGGTCCCTTGCTGCCCTTATCCCCCCCACCTGGACTGGGGCCCTGGTCTCATGCCCTGAACCTGACTCAGGATTCCACGCTGGGCCTTTGACCCTCTGCTCTGAGCCTGCTGTGGTCATGGTGGGGGACGGAAGCAGGACAGTTCCTGTGGTATCCTGGTGACTGTGGGCCAGGAGCTACGCTCACTGTATAGATACCTCCCCTGGACCCAAGGCTAGTTGGAGGCTGGCTTCAGTCTAGGATGGTTTCATTTTGTCAAGTAAGTTTGCTTCTTTGGCTCTCAAAAGTCATCAGGATAGGGGTTATTACCCATTTTACAGGTGAGAAACTGAAGCGCAAAGAGAGTGTATGACATGCCCGAGTCACAGAGCAAGATGGTAGCAGGATCCTGACTAGAACTTGGCCTCCTGGCTGCCAGATCCCTGCACAGGATGCTTTGGACCAGCTGCCTCCATGGAAGGGAAAGCAGGCCTGGGAGTCTGGACACATGTGTCGTCCTCGCTTTTTGGTCACCATGTGTCAAAGCCACATTCTGCATGTTTATGTGTGTGTGAGTGCCCTTGCTGGATGACCTCAGCCAAAGCCGTTGCGTCTCTGTTCCCAGGAAAGAAAGGCAACATACCCAGGGATTGTGGGGCAGGGCACTTGGCTAGGTGGTTTACAGAGCAACAAGGTCACCTCACAGTTAGTGCCAAGGCCCACAGCATCTCCAACAAGAGCACGGGGCTGGTGGCCCACGGGCAGACTCTGGCTTGGGGCCCCAGCCTCTATTCCCAGGCTCAGCCTTGTTCTGTGCTGTCACAAAGAAGAAGGTGGTGATGACCACATGGCTCGCTACAGTCAAGGCCGCTTGGGCCTGACCTGATTGCAGCACCAGCTCCCACTCCCTCTCAGGTGCCAGAGATAAATGGATGGAGTTTGCTGTGCAGCCTGCCCCGGCCCCCCGCTGTTTACCCGCAGCCCTGTGCCGACAGGCAGTGCTGACAACAGCCAGGTTGGGGAAGGACAGGCAGCCACCAGCATGTTAATAATACAGACCTTGGCCCAGGCACTGTGTAGACAGGTAATGGGCACAGAGAGGCCCAGTTGCCCCCCAAGGTCACATAGCCCTGCAGGGAGTTCTGTCTCCAAAGGTCAACATCTCCCCTGAGGGCCCCTTGAGGGCTCTTCTTGCCACACCACGTGGAGAATGGCTAGGGAGGATAGAGGGGGTGCAGGAGTGTCCCCTGAGGCCGCCGACCGGGCTGCCAGAGCGGACACTTTCATCTCTCTTCGCCTGTCGACCTGCCATCCCTCAGCAGCATTAAATTCCCCTCCTGCCAGAGAACAAGGGCTGCCTCAGATTCCAGGCAGCAGGGCGTGAAGATGGGGCGGGCCCAGGGGAGGAGAGCTGGGCCCTGGGGCTCCAGGCCTGGGTGCAAAGCAGCTGGGCTAGGGAAGGGATGCTTGGCCTGGGGGTTCTGGTGGCCGGCTACCCCAGCTTCCCCATGCTGCTTCATGCTCCTGGTCAGATGCTGGTCTGTTTCCTGTTGCCTTCTCTCTCCTGACTGGTGCCTTACTCCCCCTTCAGGTGGTACCTCCTCAGAAACCTTCTTGACCCCTGCAGGCCAGGTCTAGTGTCCCCGTGCCACCCCCATCCCTGCACTGCTCACTCTGGGTGACACTGCCTGGCATCGCGGCTGCGACCTGCAGCTCAGTGAGCGTGGGACTGGAACATGAAACAGGTAGAAAGCCTCTATGGGCTGAATAAAC